GGATGCTTTAGGGCGGGGCTACACGGTGATTGACAGGTCTCTACCATATCGTGGTTCAAAGTTCATTCTTGACCTCAGGAAAATCAGTTGAGAACATCTGGTCCATTGAGTAGCTGTTCTGGAGCTTTTACATGATCTTCATCATCCGTCATGGAATTGAAGATATTAAAATTTCCTTTTTTAACAAAGTACAATCCATTCTAGCAATAGAAAAAGAAGAAGAGCTACTGAATGGTGGTGTTTCCTCGACTTAACTACATTTATTTGACAGCATCATTATTATCCAGAGCTCTACCAAACTAAAATAACGAAAAACTGATTATTCAGAATAACAGAAGCACACTCTGGTCTCTGTTTTAACCGGACAGTTTGGTGAAGAAGGTCGCCAGCTTGGTGACTTCCTGCCAAAAATGACCAGCTGCAGACAAACTTCACGAAGCATTTGGTTGGACGTCTGGTGCTAATCTTTACGAATGCACACTGAAGGCCCCGTTGACTCACGTGTGAGCTGGCCGGAGACGGGCAGACTCTCCTCCGATCCAGCGTACGCAGATATCGTTACGGCATAATCCACATCTGGACTCAGGTCTGAGATAGAGGTCTTAGTCGCAGATGCAGGCAGAGTAAATTCTTTTGCTGGTTCATCTACAAGAATGCAAAAAAAAACAAAGTCACAGGGAAGCCATTAGGAAACTATTGCATTACTTCATTTCTCCAAAGAGTCAAAACAGGGCTTCAGAAAAACCTGATTCCGACTGTTGACCCGAGGACTGGAGGAGCTGTGTAAACAGTTTGATTCAATTTAATGAAATCTTTCCGCATTACTATGAATCAAAACACATTATTTTAACCCTTAGATACAAAAGTCTTCCATTAAATCAAACTCAAAAATGTCTTGGCATGAAATGGACAACAGGTATATATGTATTATTGGTTGATACTGGTGGAGATATTTCAGAGGCTTATTGCTCAGGTTTACAGGATTATCAGTGTGACAAGATCCAACACGTTTCTACAAATTAAGTACATTAACAACTTAAGCCTTCACTTGTACTAAACAATGACGATTAGAAATAATGACACTGAATTACTTTTGTGGCAAAGACTATGTTTCTCTTAATGAACCCTTCAAATCATTTAGTCTAATGTTACTGCCATACCATTTTGTAGGCATGTTATCTTGTAGGTATATTGTGGTTAAATGTAACTTAAAGTCTTCCAAATTTAGATTATTATTAAGCATTTTGATCAAGTGTTGAAATGTGGAATGTTGAAATAGCTCCTACATTAGCAAGCTAACGTTAGTTCTGTCAGTTAAGTTTACCCGGCACTTAATAATAAGCAAACTAACATCGGTTCTGTCATCGATCTGTTAAATTAGCTAATCTACATGAAAGTTACACCTGGAAGTTATTAAAT